CTTTCCCTAAATAAGAAGGGATTAAGGCATTAATCAGCCATTTGAGGAACTGAGACCAAACCCAGAAACCAAACAAGGGCTAAACCCAGACCCAGATACCCGAAACAATCCTCGCGAAATCAAATAATCGAAGCAGAAAACAGAAAATCTGAAAGAAACCCGACATTGATACGGATTCTGCCGCACAGTCAGTAGGTACTAGGTAAGACTTCCGTAAACAACGGAGAACGAGAGAGACAGAACCACAGGGGACTAGTGTCGGGGGGAAAAACGAGGAGAGTACCTGGAAACGGAGAAGAACAGGGAAGTGGGTGTTGTAGCAACAGATGGCGGAAGAGTTGACAAAGCGAAAGAAGAGAACTTTATTAAAATAAAAATAAAAACAAAGAATCGGAGATTGTGGTTTGGTGTAAAGAAGAAGAGAGAGAGAGTGCAGGAGCGGCTTTTTGCGGAAGAGATAGGGGTGTGGTCTGATGAGTGGCGCAAATTCTACGTTTCGGCTTTCCTTTTGGGCGAAACGCATGGACGACAGAAATTCCAATCTTCTTTTGAGGATAAGGTCTCGTTCTCTCCTTTGTCACTCCCCGACACTGTTTCTTGAAGTTGTTCTTGTCTACTTAGAAATTTAATAATGCCCACCACACATGTAATCTCTTTTAGGTTAAGATTATTTTTCAGGATGGTTCTTAGAGATTGGATTATCTGATTTCAATTTCGTAATGGTTAGAGTTTCGGATATTTTCATGGCGTTCCGTATCCAACCGATGCGAGTAGATTTTGGTTTTGAAGAGAACAAGTGAAAAATTAAATCAATAAATTAATTCTTATTTTTAAAGAGATTTTTTTTTATACTTCTCTTCGATGACCATCACATTGCTTCTTCAATGTATATCATATAAAATTTTCAATTAATTTAATAAATTGATTATGTTTATTTATTAACATATAAAAGGGGAAACCCCCCCCCTCCGAAAAAGCCTAGTGGGCCGGCCCAAAATCTGAGCCCTAATGAACCCTCCTGATTCCCAAAGATTCAATATCTCAGTTAGTCTCTTTCGTCATTGAACCTTTTCCTTTCCACAGACAAAAACAGCGGAGAGCCCGAATATGGCGACGGAGGATGCGAGCGATACCTACGCCGCGGCGCCTCCGCCGCCGCCGGAGGTTGAAGTTGAGGCCGAGAAGCAGCCGCACAAGCTGGAGAGGAAGTGGAGTTTCTGGTACGACAACCAATCCAAGCCCAAGCAGGGCGCGGCTTGGGGATCTACCCTTCGCAAGGTCTACACCTTCGACACCGTTGAAGAGTTCTGGAGGTAAATTTTTTTTTATGTCCCTGTTCATTGGTTGTATTCTCTTGTCCGTGACTGGATTTCCCTGCGATCAATCTGTCTGATATTCTAGGGTTTTGTGGGTTTTCGTAGTTTGTCTTGAATGTGTGGACGTTTGTTTACTGTTTTCGTGTTTTTTAGATCTTTTTCCGCAGACGTATTTTCTCTGATTTGCACGGACCTTACGCTTACAGCTACAAGAATCTCTGAGCTTTTCTAGCTTGGTCGATTACAACAGTAGCCTCTGTTTGTTGACATTGCTTTTCATAATATAGCTTTAGGACAAATGTTCAATTTTTTTGTAACATTGCATGCTGATTATTTTGCAGTCGGGTGATTTGGTTATTTGACAATTTTGTTGATGCTAAAGCTGTAAGAATCTCTGAGTTCTCGTAGCTTGATTCACTACTGATCTCAGTGGCATTGTTGTTTGGGATTTAGCTCTAGAATCCAATCAGCACAGGACATAAAGGTTCCAAATTTATCATCTTTATTCGTCACTGTGTTCTAATTCCTTTCGGATGGATTTTCCCAGTTTGCACGACAACATATTCAAACCGGGCAGATTGACTGCAAATGCGGACTTTCACTTGTTCAAAGCTGGGATTGAACCAAAATGGGAAGATCCCGAGTGTGCGAATGGAGGAAAGTGGACGTGGGCTATTTCCACCAGTAGGAAGTCAACCCTAGACGATATGTGGCTTGAAACGGTGACTTTTCTAACCCTAATTGATCCATCTGAACTCACATGTGTTACTGTCGTTTGTGGGCAGCTGATGAATACTTTTTTCTCGTGTGTGGCAGTTGATGGCTTTGATTGGAGAGCAACTGGATGAGTCAGATGAGATTTGTGGTGTGGTTGCTAATGTACGCCAAAGGCAAGACAAACTATCGTTGTGGACAAAGACGGCAACGAATGAAGCTGCTCAGGTACGATTTTGAGTTTTCTTGCTCGGAGAGGGTATTGATTGATCTTGATCACTTGTTTGAGATTATCAAAATGTCCTTTAATTTAGTTGATTTTGAGCACCTTACTTTTGTCGTGTTTTAGGACTAAGCCAGTGGTTTGCAATTTTTGTTTTCCTGTCATATGCCTTTCTATACCTGCTCATGGTGCAAGCTTGTTGATTTAGATACTCCTGCTATCCGTGGATCGACAATACGATAATAAAACTGTTTACACAATCAAAATACGATGTGTTGTAAATGTTCGAGTATATTTAGGAAATTTGCTTTGTTGTTCTTTAGGTTTCACAGAGACTGCCAACTATGCCGTTGCATGTGTATTTAAAACATATATGGCATCATATTGGACTGGTTTTGAATCAGTGGCACATCTGACGCATCAGAGTTCTTAGTTAGCTCTGCGGTGATGTGGTTTACTGAAATCTTGGGCTGTAATTACTACGCTGATTTTAGGTGACAATCTGAATGTGACCTTTCTGGGGATAGGAAACTTGAGGATTTGGTTTTCTAGGTTTTGCATGATGCTAGAAATTCGAGAGTTGCTTATAGGAGGAGATGTCATTTTTGTGAATAATTGAACTAAGTTGAGACCATCTTCTTAGAAGTGTGCTAATTATATGTTACCTGCATTTATCTAATTGATGTGTTTGCCTTGTTTTACACCCAGATGAGCATTGGGAAGAAGTGGAAGGAGATTCTCGATGTCACTGACAAGATAACTTACAGCTACCATGTAACTTCTTCGCCCTGAAACGATCTTCTTTGTCTATATATTTCCTTCCTGTAACTTATCCCTTTTTTTTTAATATCTTGTTCTGAATTCAGGATGATTCTAGAAAGGACAGATCAGCAAGAGGTCGATACACTGTCTGAAGACTAGTTGCCCATGGTACCTTATCTATGCAAGATCTCAGGCTACACCCGAGGAAGACATATATTTTACCTTTCATGCCTTGTTTAGTTTCGAGAACCAAATGGCTGAAACATTTTTCCGTCAGTTGTTTTGATTCTACTGCTCTACAATATTGTTCTATTTTTGACAAGAACCTATGCTGCGAGGAGATTTGATCAAGTATGTCAAAATTCATCTAGTCCCGAAGCTTAAAGTATCACAAAGGCAGTTTTTTCTTTGTTTATTGTTTCAGTATGCTTGAGTGAAATTGTACAACTAGAAATATAGATTTGGACAGATATATTGTAGAGAATGGCAGGTGGTTGGATCATGCACACATCCAGATGAGCCTTTCAAGAATAGAAGCTCACCGTCCTGAAGTGTTGCAGACACTCACACGGATTTTTTCTACAAGGTAATGTTCTCAGGCAGATGTATTCACGCGAGGAACCCGAGCCTCTCTCCGTTCTTCTTGGCGAGACGAATCAGCCCTTGTCTCTGTTTTCCGTCTGCTCCTATTGATTTGCAGAATTCGTTAATGACCTGAAAGGAAGAGCACCACAGCTTTGCTTTAGATAAGTAAGTTAACTATTTCCTTCATATTGTCTCACAAAAGCTAACTATTTCCTCCATTGCTTCTAAAGCAGGGCTGAATTTGGATCCATGGTTATGCTTAACAAACAACTTCTCAAGCTCCGAGGTGAGGAAATACCATGGTGTAAGGTAATTTTGAACTCTTTCTCGATGAATACACCATTGTTCTCATTTAATCTTGGTTGTTCTTATAATAGCTTGGATTAGAAATCTGAGATATTACACATAATCGTGTATATGTTTTTCTTCTTTGTTTACCTGAGAATGTAAGGCAATGGCCTTTCCTCGGAATTGATTGAACCTCTTCTTCCCGATGATGTTCCGTGTCACAACAACGAGAGGCGCAAACAGACCTTTGCCCTCGTTGACATTCTTCATCGTGGGCTGTGCCCTCACGACCTTACGTGAAACCCTAACCTGGCTCCGCCCCGTTGCCTTGGCCACCGTGCTATGGTAATCTTCACCGGCCATGAAGCTTCCCCATCCTCCATGGAAGGAAGTCCCGAGTAAACCTCCTCTGCACCCACTTGCTGAAACTGAAGTAGCCATTGAAAACTTCCTTTTGCCTCTTAACCCAATTCACGTATGAGATGATGGTACCCTGATCTCTCTCTCTTTCTCTCTCTCTCTCTCTCTCTCTCTCTCTCTCTCTCTCTCTCTCTCTCTCTCTCTGGTGGTCAACCGCAGAGATGGTGTTTATGTTTGTGTTTCGTGTGATGGGCTTTGTCGAGGTTTGGATGTGGAAGAGGTTGTGTAGGAGATTTTGGGCTTCGATGGACAGAGGAGAGCCACAAACCAGATTCTGGTTTTGCTTCCTTCTTTTTATTTCAAGTTCTTGTCCCTCAGCCAGTTTGGTGTGTTTGGTTTGAGGTTTTCTGTCATACTGTTTTCTATTGGTCGGGATATTATCCTCTAGATCGAGAAGATCATTCAGTCTTGACCGTTGGATAATTTGTCTCTCGTTTTTTCAAGGTTCGGATGTGTAAATTTTGACAATAAAATAGTGGATACGGATTTTTGCGCAAGTGAACAATGGTTTTTATTATCTGTAAAGCTCGTGGTATTTTTTGGTCGAATTTCATGTGAATCGGAATTTTGTGACCCTTTTCCCCAGATATTTGATAGGATATCAAGAGGAGCCAAAAGAAGGGTCATGGGCGTAAAGGAAACAAGAGTAACAGGGAAAGAAGATATGCATAAGGTGGAGCAATTGATGGAGGTATGGTCACGTGAGGGATGTTGGATTAGGTTCATTGTATCAACACATTGTATGTGTGGGTATATCCTCTTAGTGCCAGCTCAGCAGGTTTGTTGTGGGTAGCTTATATTAGACGTGCAGATTGGGTATTAGGGTTTATGCTTTTGCTCATTTGAATGTGTAAGGAGAGGGGTGAGAGAGAAGCTCACAATAATCAACTTCTTGGGGTTGTATTTGGTTTTCTGGAAATCAATACAACATATCGGTTCTTGTTCTTGTTCTTTTCTGGGTTTTCTGTTACTGAAACCTTATCAATATTATTAGATAATTATTTGTTTTCCACCTTTTTTTTTATTTTAACTGGCTAATTTATATCGGTTATCGATGATGTGGATATTAATTATAGAATATAAAACATATAAATCTTATAATTAAGAGGAACAAATCCAAGTAATGCAAGTTTCTTCACATGCTCCTTTCGCAAAGAAACCCCTGCTTTATACTAAAGCGGACGCATAAATCTCGTTAATGATCATATGATTGGGAGAAGATAAATCATTCGTCCAAAGGGTCGTGGAACATCGACAAAAGATGAGAGTACACACCTAATCTAAATTCGTAAGTTGGAGTCTTTTGGTTGCAGTATCCACGTTTGAAGACAGGACAGGCCGATTCGAATCAGAAGATCCCGAACGTGTTTTCGCCGCTGTAGGTCATGTACAGAAACCCGTCCTCGTCTTTGTGCTCCTCATAAATGGCAGACATCATCGCCGCTGCAATAAAAAAGATTTGACGATATTATCGGATCTATGATAAGCGAGAATGAGGTTGTAACGAAGAAAGCAATACCGGTAGGAGGCAGAATGTTCTTGACGAAAATGAAGATAGCCTTCTCGGGACTGAGCTTGATCCGCTTCCGGACCACATACACAAACTGGCCGACAGTCAGATCTGCCGGGACCAAGTACCTGAAGTTCTCCAACACATCAGTCAATCTGAGATCTCACAACCCAAACAAGAGGCAGAAACCCTAACCACGAACTGTCGGATTAAGGATTCGTTTTCTCCAGATTGCTTGGGCTTCTCACTAGTAGACATTAAACACTAAAGCAAAAGATGATGCCTTTGGTACGTTCACAGGAATATGGCATGTCTCAAAACAAGAAGCAGTGATCCCAACTCACTTTTTCTTATCGATATCAGGCACATCGCTCTTCTCAGCTCTTTCGACGATTACCTTCGAGGGGAAACAAAAAACACAATGAGACAAAACATGCACTATGTTTGCGGGAACAGAAGGGGACAGTGATTCTTCATACCGGAATTCTATCGGGATACTTCTCCCTGATGCGAGAAGCTTCAGCTTGCCTCCTTTCTGAAACACAACAGTATAGTGAAAAGAAAAAGCAACAACACAATCAATGAACTCGATGTAACAACATCTTCTCAAGTTTCCATCAGCAAACAACTTCTTGAACAGAGATCATGGCAATTGCATCAGCAACATCACCATAAAAAGTTTCGGATAAAGATTGTATTTTGCAATTCTAGGATCCAACCATTAATCCGGACTCGGATTCAGGGCTTATACACGCCTGTGGATTCCCCTGTCAACTGCGTGAAATCTTCAACTAAATAAAGAAAACAACCGATAACGCTTAAACCGTACCTATTTCCCGCGTTGCAAGGTTAGTAGCACCATCTAAAACTAAGCGGAGATCTAAATCAAACCCTATTATCATCAATTACAAACCCTAAAACCAGAATTACGAAATTTCCACGACATCCACACCCCAGTTCTTAGACAATTGACAAAATTGACAAAAAATTCACTGATCAAGGGCTAAATCAAAGAGAGAGAAAAACATGCGGGAGGGAGAAAGTGAGACGAACCGAGGGGGTGCTCCAGCTTGAACAAACTGATCACCATCGTTGAGATATCTCGCTGCGAGAGAGAGGACGAACAGGATCAGGAACTAGGGTTTCTTCTACGAAATAATTCCGAGAACGATTTGCGAGAGACAGAAACTATGGAAACTAGATTAAGGTTTTGCTTAAGAGAACGGAAAGCGAAGCGATATGAGGAGGATGGAATTCCGCAATCGAACGTAATGGCAAAGTATCACACTTTCTTGTTAGTGTACGGAAAGAGCAGGGTATTTATTTATCAAGGAGACAGCTATTTTTCTATTTTTACGTAACAACCCCATAATATTTCGTTTTTTATAGATTTACCCAAAACAAAAAGGAGTTCGTTACCTTCCCCCAAGTAACAGTTATAAAGTTATAAATGGTCAGCACCACCTGGTACGGGCAGGAATATTCGAGGTTTTTTTTTTACCTGTATCTAATTCTAAATTCGTTAGTATTTTGGAGTTCCAACATCTTATATCAAATCCATCTTTGATGTATACTCTATTTCTTTAGATATTCACCGGCAATATATTTGAGATAATTTCCCGAATTTAGATCGATTGATTTAATAGATATTCATTGGTAATATATTTGAGATATTTTTGAATGAGTATCCGTCTATTGATGAGGTGTAATTCAACGGAGACGGTGAAAATCTGATATTTGAACTGAAATATCCATCTGTAGACAAGAATCCATATCCCAGATATATGTTGAATGATTTTAAAAACCAAATCAACGCAGATAAATTGGCCACTTCCATTGAATTTAAATTTAAATTAAATAAAATCTTAAAAACCAAAAATATCAACAGAGAAATTAGAGACAGATGTCTCTTTAGTGCCCATATATCCTTTTCTTTTTATTTGCAATGGCAGCCCACTCAATAAATTCATCTGATTCCAGTTTTCTTGACGACAGATGTATAATTTGACCAAAACCATCGATGATTCAAGAAAAGTTTACAGATTTCATAAGATTTCCAGAAGCCTCAGAAAGCCAGCTAATTTTACATCAAAGTATTTACACTCAGACGGTAATTCCATGTTTTAGCAGTTCATCCTCATCGGCTTCCCAAAATAAAACAAAATAATAAATTATACCAAAAAAAATAAAAAATGTAATCGCCGAAAACGGCTCCGTAGATCACAGGAAATCAGATCCACAGGTTCCTATCAGCAAGCGAAACATGGCATCTGTCTCTGTCCGATCATAGCATCAACGGTCATAGCCCTTTGCTACCGGCGACGTGGCATCGGACATAACCCACAAATCGAATTCTATGTTTTGTCAAAAACCCAGATCCCAAAAACTAAGATATCGAATTCTACAGTTTGTCAGGGAAAACAATCATTGAACATTTCATTCCCTCAGGGGTCCCGTTTCAAATCACACACAGCGGAAGAAACTCCGGAAATTACGGTGGGTTCCCGACCGATCAGAATCATCGGACCCGGAAGTTCGGATCGGGTAAAGATCCGAACCCGGCGAAGAAACTGGCCGGTGGATTGGGAACCCAACACGATAAACTTCCTCGTCGGCCTCCGCTGCGTATTAAAGTGTCATACGGCACTTCCTATCAATGGGATTTCTTCCTCATCGGGAAAAAACAATGCGTAGAAATTCTTCCACGCGACAATTCGAAGGAAAACGAAAAGGAAAGAAAGAACAGTTTGAGAGAAAACCATGGTTGAACCATCGGTAGAAGGTGTTCTGAGGCAACAGCGATGGGAAAGTGGATATATATAGAAGGGTTTTGGGAGAAAAACAAAACCCTAATTTTTCATGAACCCTAGTTTTCGAGTGAGGAAATACTTGGGCTTGGGTCCTCTTGAATGATTCGGCCCAAACTGAAAGCCCATATCCTAAACGTACCGTACGGTATGAATAAGAAAAAAAAAACGTGAGAACGGAAAAGAACCCATCTTTTCAGTATCTGGTCCAAAACATAGATGGACGGATAGAACCATTTTTTTATTTTAGTAGTTGAAATTTATAATTCTATAACTTTATTTTTTTCTAACAACTAATTAATCAAACATCAAGAGTATATATTGAAAAATAGAAACATATTGATAATAACGATGTTATTTATATGGTTGTTTTTATTTAAAAAATATAGTCTTTGGTTTTTAATAAAAAAAAATTGAAATTGCATTTAATTTTAGTAAATAATAATAATTTTTAAGATTTGATTTTATTTTTCAAAAAACAAGAAGAAGAAAAGAAAAAACAACAAACGAGGAAACCCTAATTTGTCTCGACGGCAGAAGACGAACAAGGGAGCAGGACAGGTGGGGATTGTTTCTCGAGCAGTGGGTTACTGTCTTGTGGGACCCACGCGAGAAACAGTACTCTCAAATGATGGTCACGTGGCTCGGTTAGTGGGCTGAGAACGGCTCCATCACCCTTCAAGAAGAAGAAAAGAAAAAACAACAAACGAGGAAACCCTAATTTGTCTCGACGGCAGAAGACGAACAAGGGAGCAGGACAGGTGGGGATTGTTTCTCGAGCAGTGGGTTACTGTCTTGTGGGACCCACGCGAGAAACAGTACTCTCAAATGATGGTCACGTGGCTCGGTTAGTGGGCTGAGAACGGCTCCATCACCCTTCCGCCACTACCTCCATCCATTTCCATACGTCTCTCCGCAAAAAAAAAAAAAAAAAAAAAATAAAAAAAAAAAAAATCCCTTTTTTTTTTTTTCCCCTAAAAAAATTTTTTTAACCAAAAAAAAAAAAAAAAAAAAAAAAAAAAAAGATTAAAAAAAAAAAAAAAAAAAAAAATTAGAAAACAAATCGTGTATTTGTGGTTATAACAATCATATATCCATACATACTAATAGGATGGATCTAGAAAATTTTACACATCAATTAACTTTAATGTTTGATATTAATTTATATAATATGATAAATGGTTTATAAGTTTGTAGGATACGAGGAAAATATTTATCTGTTCGATTGGATATGCGGTCGGTCCATATACTATATTTGGAGATAATGAGACAAACTTGAGAAATTTAAAGAAATTTTTTTCCAAAGCTCACATGCTTAGGTTTTACCAAAACAAACATGGTGCAACGTTAATTGTTGTTTCAAAGCTAATTTTACTATTTTAAAAATTATATATCACTAAAAAAAATTACTGTTGCAAGGCTAATTTTATCATTTAACAGGTACAATGTGCAAAAAAAAAATTATTTTATGATATTAGTTGAGATACATCTATATGTGGATACATTAAATTATTCACTGATGCAAATGTCCTGACATTATTGCAACCAACAAAAAGTTGGAAGGACATTGTGTAAATTGTTGTAATCAATTAGGGCATCTGATCTATAAACCCAAACGTTATTTAATTTTTTAAAAATAAAATTACAATTTTGAAATTAAAGTCCCTCAATAATTACGGCGTCTGCTGCTCTGCCTCTGCCCCATTTTGTCACCACGTCCACTTGTTGTTTGCTTTTTTTTTTTTTTACATTGATGACCTTACTATTTGTAAAAAAAAATGTCTGTTATTTTAGAATTTTCGATGTTAGAAAAAACATAATTATGGAATGATTAGTTTATTTTTTGTTCATATCATAAATTTAAAAATATTTTATTCGATTTTTTAATTATTTTAAATAATTAATATAATTTCGTATTGATTCCATTTTTCTTATTTTTAAAATTTTACAATGATTCTATTTTTTTATATTTTATTAGAATAATTTTAATTTATAAATTTTTTGGATTTTGCTTAATCGAACCATGACCACCCTATTTCTACTTGTTCTCTCTTCCACTATCCATCACCCCCCTCACTCCAACAAAGCTACATCCAAAGAACCCTAATTTCTCTCCTCTCTTCACATTCCATTCTCCTATCTCATGCTCTGTTTTCTGCAGAAGCAGAGCATGAAGTCTCTCACAGCTTTCATCTCCCTCCTCCTCCTCTCCATCATTTCTCGTTCAGGTAATGCAATCTCTAGTCCCTTTTCCCGCATTTTCTTTCGGTTTCTTGGAAAACAAACTGGCCCGTGTACCCACATTTCGATTCTTCTTCCACTCATCTCATGTTCGATGTTTTTGCTTGCAGATGCCGGCTCCATCGGCGTAAACTACGGCAGAATTGCCGACGACCTCCCATCGGCGACGAAGGTGGTGCAGCTTCTTAAGTCTCAGGGAATCGACAGAGTCAAGATCTACGACAGTGACCCGGCAGTTCTCAAGGCATTGTCTGGATCCGGCATCCGAGTTACCGTCGATCTCCCCAACGAGCTCCTCTTCTCCGCCGCCAAACGTCCTTCCTTCGCCGCGTCGTGGGTCCAACGCAATGTCGTCGCCTACCACCCAGAGACCCAGATCGAAGCCATCGCTGTCGGAAATGAGGTCTTCGTGGACCCACACAACACCACCAAGTTCCTCATCCCCGCCATGAGAAACGTCCACAAAGCTCTCGTCAAGAACAACCTCCACTCCGCCATTAAAGTCTCCTCACCCATCGCCCTCTCCGCGCTCCAAAACTCGTACCCTTCCTCCGCCGGATCGTTCCGACCGGATCTCGTCGAGCCCGTAATCAAACCCATGTTGGATTTCCTCCGCGAAACCGGTTCCTCCCTCATGATCAATGTCTACCCGTTCTTCGCCTACGAAGGAAACTCCGACGTCATCCCCTTGGACTACGCCTTGTTCAGAGAAAACCCAGGTGTCGTAGACGCCGGAAACGGTCTCCGGTACTTCAATCTCTTCGACGCACAAATTGACGCTGTCTTCGCCGCAATGTCAAGGTTGAAGTACGACGACATCGAGATCGTCGTGACGGAGACTGGTTGGCCGTCAAAAGGAGACGAGAACGAGGTCGGAGCTACCGTTGAGAACGCCCCCGCCTACAACGGCAACCTCGTACGGCGGATACTGACCGGAGGCGGAACTCCTTTGCGTCGGAAATCAGATCTCACCGTCTATCTCTTCGCGTTGTTCAACGAGAACAAGAAGACAGGACCCACCTCTGAGAGAAACTACGGTCTCTTTTACCCCGACGAGAGAAAAGTCTACGACGTGCCGTTGACGGCGGAGCAGCTTAAGCATTACCATGATAACCCTTCTCCGGCCACTGGAGGTCGGCAAGTGACGTCACCGGTCGCCGGGGGAGTTTCCAAGAGCTTGACGGGGAACACATGGTGCGTAGCTAATGCAGACGCGGGGAAGGATCGTCTACAGGCGGGTCTAGATTACGCGTGCGGTGAGGGAGGAGCTGATTGCCGTCCGATCCAGCCAGGCGCCACGTGTTACAATCCTGACACTCTCGAAGCGCACGCGTCGTTCGCTTTCAACAGTTACTACCAGAGGAAAGCACGAGCCGGTGGGAGCTGTTACTTCGGAGGCGCAGCTTATATCGTCACCCAACCACCCAGTGCGTATTTTATCACTCTCCCTTTTACATTCCTTCGCTTTTCCCGGCTTAGGTTAGGATATTACGCTAACGTAAGCCGTCTAAACTAGGATGCGCCGTTTTAAGTTCTGTCATCAGGGTAATTAATGCTAACGTCACAGTGTGGGTGATTTAGTTGTTGCAGCAGTCAACATAGAGGCGTTGGTGGAGACCATTGGGTCAAACCCACGTGAAAATCAATCACGATGACATGAGGAATCTTATGCTTACGTGGCATGTTCCCATTGGCTTTTCACTGACTGTGACTGTAGTGTAGGAGGCTAGGAATTTTTCGGACCTTAGATCTATAATAATGCCATTTGTGTTAAACAAAGAAAAGGACGTTAGAAGAATTTCCTGTGTTAAATAAATTCATTAGCTATTCTTGTACGGACATAAATACGAGATCGATTTCAAACTCTAAGTTGTAACTCTTGTTTTTTTTTTTTTTTTTTTTTTTTTTTTTGCAGAGTATGGGCGATGTGAGTTTCCGACGGGGTACGAAGAAGAGTTCGGAGGGTAAAACAACGACGATGGCGATCGAATTAGGGCATGAAGGGTTAGATTCGTAATCGTGTTGTTGTATTTTGTATGTTTTCATTTTGTTTATCCGTGGAGTATCGGTTTTTAGTGATGGGTTAATGTTGCTATTAATTTTATCTTGTTGACTAATGTTATCTTTTGTTAATATAATGAATGATACATCTTACTATCTCTTTTCACGGTGTACTAAATATCATGCCACTGTGTGTGTATAAGTATATATATATATAAGGATTACATATAGTTTTGTATAGGTGCTGACAATTAGAGATCAATTCCATTCTAATTTCTAAAGATGGGTTTTGTGGACAGTAATATGAATCCAATACTTGAATGGGCTAATTTCTTAATTGTATTTTGTATCTGAAGAATCACTCACTATTCGAATTAACGTTAGGCTGAAAACGGAAAGGGTGTGGGATTCCACTTTGCCGATACGTTGAAAAAAGCGAGTGTTTTTTGTAAAAGTTACATTGGATTCTTCGGATCCCAGCTGCAGAATACAAAAAAATATCTCAAGGCCGTGTATTTGGATAGTAACATATATTCCTTTTTCCTTCATGATTTATATACACACATATATATAACATTAAGAGATAGCTAATTGTGAAGATGTTGGCTCGATTGTTGAAGGAGAAGACGAAGAAGAACATGGAAAGAGGGTTTGATCGATTCGAGACAGTAAGACTTCGATTGACACACAAAAAAAGTCGAGGGCATTTTAGTAATTGTACTGTTCAGTCGTGAGTTGGGGAACTGGGCTTTTTTCGTACTTTCCTCAAAACAAAACCTGTTTTTGATAAGGTTGCCATGATAGCTTTGGTTAGTGAATTCGATTTATTCGTAAGGAATCTATCAAAATTCTCTATGGTTTGATTTTTGTTTTGTTTTATAAATACAATCATAAAACTTGATTTTAACGATGGATCTTTCTTCGTTCCAATTACAACGATTATTTGGTTCAAAACAAACGACAATTGTAAAATGTTAAATAACCACATTTTTTCAAAAAAAAAAAAAAATCCATTTTTCATAATCATATAAGGTCGGATATGTTAGATAAGTTAAGATTGATCAGGTCAAATTGTGATGTTAGATCAGATTATTAGACTTATTAGATCATCATCATCAGCTGAAGTCAAGTTTATCATCATCATCATCGTAATAATAATAATAATAATAGCACATGAGGAGAAATGGACCATACATATACATGTGAAAATGTGAAAATAATTAAGGGAGGTGTTTGCCATGTGACGTCCTTGTAGACTTTCTTCGATGAGGGCCCCACTCCATTTGCTTCCTGTAATTTTATTATACGTTTGTTGTAAATCACATTCCTAATTTTCTGGGTTTTTTCTTTATATACTGCTACTCCTTATGCTATATTTTTTAAAAAAAAAAAATCTAACACCGCATACTTTGTTAAAGAATAATTATGGAGGTGAATATTTTGCTTCAGTTAATTTAAATATTATTTTAATTAAATATGGAACATAAGAATAGACAAGTTTTTAGAAATTAAATAAAAAAACCTAATACAAAAAACAATAATTGAAAAACTTAAAAAATAATTAAATTCAAAACGTAAACCAACTCTAAAATATCGGTCCAACCAAAGTGTCAGTCCGTAGTATACACACGGCATTGTAGGACTTCGGGACATAACAAAAGCAAAAAATAACAAAGTTCCGAGGAACACTTGCATTATCAAACACTAAAATTTCCCTAAGTTGGGGAAAATCACTACCCTCTCTCACAACCCTACATCTTCAACATTTAATCATTTTCGAACTAGTTAATACAAACAAAAACAAAGAAGAAAAAAAAAAAGCACAACGAGGATACTCACTAAAACCCGCATCCATGGCCTCTCAATTTCCTGAATTTGGAGCATAATTAAATAAATATAGTAATTAAAAAAAAAAAATAACCGATGAGTTGATGAAGTATACGATGTGTGTGTCGGTATCTTGCTTTTGGTCCAAAGCAGACAAAAGCACTTTCTAGATCTTCAGCAGTTGGAGATAAATCCCAAACCTGTAATAGCATGTGTTAACATATTTATAAAATTCTTGTTGTTTTTTTAATTTTATATTGAAACATTACATAAATAAATTTTATTTTAAAATCACCGTATATTCAATTGCTTTAAGACTCCAATAAATAAGATTCCGATTGAACCCAACTCGGAAAATGCATCATACATAACATGTGTTACGTTAGCATCCATGTCTTTTGTATATTATTTATACTTTATAACCCCCCCATATCATTTTTTAAAGAATACCCTAAAATGATGGAATTGTCTCCATCCATTTAAAATATTATTAATAAATTAGAAAATTATGGAATTATCAAATCGAACGGAATAGAAACCGGAAATTTTGGTTTGGGTCGGTTATGTTAAAACGGGGTTTTGGACCACCGGTTAATAAAAAGAGAGCGCGTAAATTCCGTTACTAACGAAAAAACTGTTTTATACAGAAACATGGGATTGCGAATTACTAAAATACCCCTGAGGAAGACGTACCTGTTTGGTTAGTATCGTTTTTCTCCGGTTCATTCCTTCCAAGCTCTGCCGAAGATACTCCTGAATCGATTTCCGGTGAGTCTCTGAAGGGCCTTCTTGGCGCCAGGAACTTCCATCTCTGATAACCTCTGCAAAAACCGGTCGGCTCCGGCGGCGATAAGCTTCTTCCTCGCCGTGTGGCCACCGCTGCCGGACAGAGCCGCGGCGGTCACCATCACTGGGAGCTCTTTATCGGCCATGATCTCGTTCCTCGGATCAAGCATCTGCACCAATCGCATCACGCTTTTCTCGTCCCGAAACAGATCCTTCCGATTCGATCGGACATCAAACACTGGAAATAAAGAAATTTCAGGCGGCGGCGTCTTGCAGTCCCGCCGGCTTCGGTGACTCTATCATCCGTATCAACGACCCTGAACAACCGACAATTGCTCGTTTGTTGCCGTCGCTGATTGTCAGATTCGCGAGCAGAGAAGCGGAAATCTGCTGCGAGATTGTGTTTCCATGTTTGATGAACTCCCCCAATTGGATGATGAATCCAGTTGAAGATGACAAAACCCTAGAAACCGAATCCATGATCGATAACTGACTGAGAGCCAACAGAGCTTGCTCGATCGTATCGGAATCCGATGAATCCTGAACCAGATGCATCAAAATCTGTAATCCCCTCTCTTTGACGATCAAATCCAGGAAAAACTCACCGGAGGAGGAGAGTATCGCGATGAAGCTCGTCGCCTTTTCCGCGGCGGATGTCGAACCGGAGACTAGGAGGCGGAGGAGTACCGGAACAGCTCCTTCCTCCGCCAACGTCGTCCTGATGTCCTCCACGGCGGCAACGTTCCGAATTGCTCCGGCGGCGTGATCCTGAACCTCCATGGATCCCGATCGACAAGCTTCGATCAGCACGGAGGCGCCGCCATAAGCCGAGATGGCCCACGCGGTGTCGGGATCGGCAGTTATGGCCTCGATTGCCGCTGCGGCTCTCTCCTTCAATGGCAGAGATCCTGTCTCCACTATCCTCAACAGAGGACCTAGACCTCCTTCTTCGAACACTATTTTCCTCGACTCGATGCTCGACAAAGTGAGCAACGAGACCGCGACGAGAGCGTGTTCGCGAATCAAAGGCTCGTGGTGGAGATCGAGGAGATTCACCAAGTAACCTACGTTACCTTCTCTAGCAACAATTCCTGCAGATTTCTCGCTATCAGCGAGGATCTGGAGGAGAGATTCAAGCGATTTCCGCTTGAACTCAGCGCCGCCGATTTGGAGCCTGGTGAAGAGATCTCTGATGAAGAACGCGACGTCGTCCTTGTCGGAGCTAGGGGCAGGATGGGACAAAACGATGGCGTTTTGCTGGTGAAGAACTCCAGATCTGAGGAGGAGGTCGAGGTCACTGAGGTGAGAAGAGAGGGAGGAGGAGGCGATGTCGAGGTCGCTCTGCATGAGGAGCTTGCCGCCGGCGAAATCAACGGCGGAGCATTGGTCGGAGAGGGAGGTGAGGCGCTGAAGGGTGGAGAGCAGGGAAGGGAGGAGGGTGTGGAGGAGAGGATTCTCCGACCAGTGAGGGGATTCCGACAAGGCGGAGAGGGAGGAGTGTAGGGAGGAGAGCTTGGAGCGGAGGATCTGCCAACGTCCGACGAAGGAACGGACGGCGAGGGAAGAGACGAGGAGGAGAGAGAGGACGCTCGTGATGAGGTCGAGGAGCGGTTGCAGGGGCGCCGTCGACTGCGGTGGAGGATGATTGGATTCGCCGGCGGCGGCGGCGGCGGAGAGATGCATTTGGGAGGAGGAGAGTGAGGAGCGACGTCACATGAAAGGAAGTTTCTGTGTTTTCTTTTAACGAAGAAGTGAAAAATGCCGGGAAAGAAAGAGGTGAGAGGTGCGTGGCTTCAGCTTTTCGCTCTCTGCTTCCCAGGTAAGACTCACCCCCCTTTTCTGCCTCTTGTCTATTATCACTTTCTTTTATTATTATTATTATTATTATTAAATATATAATATTTAATATGTAAGTAGTAAAAGAAATAATAAATTGGAGGTCTCCCTGGGTTTTTTTCTTCTGAAATGCCGTCTTCTACTTCCTCCTCCTACATCAACGGAGAAGTACCCGGCTACTTTGGAATTTGAGGGAAGTTGAATTTATTTTCAATCACTTTTTTTAATTAGTATGTACACACAATCAAGTATTTATCCATACAATATAAATATCTATCCACAAAAATAAAATTTAATATATCGGTGTTTTCTTCTTACCCACCCGCATGTTTATGGGGTCTGGTTCCCCCATAATTAGATTCATTTGGTCTCTCGCCGATTCTCATAAAATACATGATTTATACATTTGGTGCTCCCTTAGATTATGCCAAGGATACATACAAAGAGTAATCCTTCATTGGTTCTGCTGACGTTGGATTATCGACAACACTCCATTTGGATTGCGTGCAAGAGTGTGCCAGTAGTGGCAAAAATGTGAATAAGGTCATACTTCAGGGGTATTGTTGGGAGATGTCTATGTTTTCTTCTGTCTTGGAGACGAAGCTTTCTGCTCTTTTCCCCTGTAGATTGGTCACAGAGCAAAAATTCAAACTCCGACTTTGTAGAACTAAGAGGAGGGTTTTCCGACTGAATCGTTCGAGAACCAGAGAAGATGAGCAGAGGAAGCGGCGGTGGCTACGATCGCCACATCACCATCTTCTCTCCGGAAGGTCGTCTCTTTCAAGTTGGTCAGTGATCCATCCTTCTTCCTTCTCCTTCATCTTGTTCTTTGGAAATCTGTTTCTGTTCCTAGAACTTATTGTCTTCCGCTCTCTATCCCACCCAAACTGATATACGATTGACGGAATTGCGAAGAGTATGCCTTCAAAGCGGTGAAAGCTGCTGGTATCACTTCGATCGGAGTTCGAGGGAAGGATTCGGTCTGCGTCGTCACTCAGAAGAAAGTTCCGGTAAGTCCTTGTTCTTTGATTCGTCACATTATGGTCGAATGAGAAACTGTCGGCTTTATAATTGATGGTTGCCTTTCGATTGACTTGAAATCTTGTACCTTTGAATGAATTAGGGTTTCGATTTACGGAGTTTTGATGGTTTGTAATTGGGCAGGACAAACTTTTGGACCAGTCTAGTGTCTCGCACCTTTTCCCGATCACCAAATACCTTGGATTGTTAGCCACGGGCATGACAGGTCGGCATGCCTTGCCCTTTGTGTCTTTGTGTTGTGAACTATCATTATGGGCACTTACTGTTCATTTTACAGTTACTGGTCTATCCTAAGTAAAAATCTGTACTTTTTCCGTGGAATGCCAGCGGATGCAAGGTCCTTGGTTCAACAAGCAAGGAATGAGGCAGCTGATTTCCGGTTCCGATATGGATATGAGATGCCTGTGGATATTCTCGCTAAATGGTATACCTATCCAGATCTGATCTGTGTGGTACACTTACAATTTCATCTGATTATATTGGGTCTTAGCTAATTTACTGGAGCTGAGTTTATCTTCTCCTCTTACTGATAATGTGATTGGAGCGATTAATAATGAACAATTTGGCTAACAGGATTGCCGACAAGTCACAGGTCTACACTCAGCATGCTTATATGAGACCCCTTGGAGTTGGTAAGTTTGCTCTCTCTTATTTATCAATTTTATCTTATGCATATTTGTTCATATGTGTGTGTATGTGTGTTCTATTGCTTTTCCTTATATCGTGTTTGTATTTCGCATGGTGATCCATGTTATTACTTGTCCAAAGCATCATTCTTGTTTTGTTTCTCTTTGTGAAGTTGCCATGGTTCTGGGTATCGACGAAGAGAAGGGACCCCTTCTTTACAAGTGTGACCCTGCTGGACATTTTTACGGCCACAAGGTAATACTGCACTGGATGATATGCCTTACTAACCTTCTGCCTTCAATCTTTTCGTGCTTTTTGTTTTGCCTGGCTATTTTGGCGACCTAGACATTTGTTAATGGAATGTCTAAATTTCCTGTTGTTCTGACGAAGCGTATTGACATAGGCTACTGCATGTGGCTAACATTCCAGAAAATGTCTTATGGTCTGTGGAAAACTTGTTCCTGCTG